TTAGATGAAGTTCAGAGCACATTTTATGACCAATTCATGCAAAACTCCACATAAACCTAAGGGGTTCACATACTTTTTCTTGCAACTGTATGCCTGACGGGTTGAATCCATATTCAGCTTGTTTTGGTATTCAGGTTTCCATTGTAGGAGATGACCAGGCTGAGCCCAAGGAGGTCAAACTCATCATCAATCATGAGTGCTTGAATGTCTAGAGGAGAACTAAGTCCAGCCCATCTTGAATTCCTTTCTTAACTTCCACTAATTCCCCTTGACAGTTAGTAGTTCAGATTCTTGTAGGGAGCTTAAGCTTCCAATAAATCTTTATGCTCATTTGAACTGCCTGAATCTCCTGATTTCTCTGGGCCGTGAAATTGATACAAGTGTAGAAAATCTATTTCTGGATATTCAGAATTAACTTGTAGCTAGTAAACAACTAGGTGCTTTTTCATTAAGATTAGTTTTGGATGATGCCAAATTGCAGATTTTGCCTATGTCTAATTCCCAAACTTGTGTTGCGTTTATAGCAGGCTTGTATGCAATGCAAAATTCACTAACTCTAAGTTCTCATTTCTCCATTTTCCTTCTAAACTGTAGTATTTCTTTTCCAAAGTATATATTTTAATTTGCATCAATAAGGAAATGTCACCAAATATAGATAACCTTTTAACCAAGTAGCATACATTGTTATACATTTCTTTTGCCAATAACATTCATATCTGACTTACTGACAATTACATATTCTGCTGAACCATTTAATTCCCCTTAATTCTAGTTCCAATAGCAGTGATTCTAGAAGCTATTTTCTAAGAAATTGGGAAAATGCTATATTTTCTTTCCCCCTTTTTGTACGCTTTTGAGTCAGTTTTTACTCATGGTGACTTCCTAGGCTTCAGAATCAAAAAAATCTTGTAAATGTTAGTGTATCTCTATACTGTATTGCATAATTTTTATTTATATCACTACTGCAAACTCCAAAATTACCAAAGATTAATACATTATTCATGGGGTTAAAAAGCTATCATTCAAATATCAAGACTGGTCTACCCTGAAGAATGATAATTTATCATTAAATCATAATAAGTGCTATGTTACGTTGGTTGAGCTTTGTGTGATATTGTTGATGTAAGCTAGCATTTAGTGCCAAGAGAGGGTTCACTTTGCAATGCTGTTTTCAAAATGGCAAGACCATCATATGGCAATAATTACAACTGATCACTGTTAGCCTAGTCAATATAATCATCACTACTTGACACCATTTCACATTGCAGAAGTAAGAAATGATGCATTGCTTTGGCTTTCATTCCATTAGAGTGCTTTCAAGTATTTCAGAGAATGAAAAGCTTTTCCTACTGCACAGTCCAAAGGACTTTTTTAAAAACTCAAGTCAAGTGCCTGCATTTTCAAATATGTAACTTTTTAAAGGAATGTTTTATCAAACCATCATATAAATGGAGAAACATATATTTTACCTAGTAGCATTTATTTTAGATCGTACTTATAAAATATTTTTAAATGAAAGATGTTTAAAAATGCAGAAATCCTTCAAGGATATAGACAAAATTTTCTTCTTTTTTTGAGCTCTAACTTTTTAACATCTCCAAAAATTTGCAATAAATTCAGAAGAATTATAACTTTATTCAGTTGCATCAATTCTGGGCAGATATGCTGATATCATTTTCATAAACAGTAAAAACACTTTCATGGCAGTTTTCCCCCAATACTAAAAAAATGTTCCTTATATCTATATTTTGTGGAATAATAAATAATGGGAGCACTTTTTCTATGGAAAGTAAAGACAACTGGCTTAATTTGATCTTACTGACAGATCATTATTCAGAGCTTCATTTTTTGTTACCTTGTATGATTTAATGGGTTATTTAAAGTAGTCCCCCTTAGTATTATTGTTAATAGAAAAAGCCTAAAAACGAATACAAGGTTATAATGGACGGCAGATTATTTTTTTAAAGTTCTTTGACTGCTTATGCCATTACTTGTTAATGGTGTTACTTAAATTTTTATTCTGGTGTTATATACATTCCATCAGGAGTAATTCCTGAAAACCATGTATTTTAGTTTGATTCACAAATGGGAGAAAATATGACTCTAGGATGGCTCCACTATAATGGTTAACATCCACTTTCTCTTGTGGTTTTTTATATTTCATATTTTTAATGATGATAGTTTTATATATTTATTTAGTTAATTTTTATACACCACTCAGAGTCACTTTTTGTGTGATGGGCAGCCATATAATGCTTTTATTCCGCCACAATAGATATCTTGTTTTATGGATTACAAGCTGATCGTGAAAGCAGAGTAGCTGTAAATGAATAGAGTTTAGGATTAAATAAATAAAATACACCAATAATCAATGTAAGCACATTCAACATGAAAGCTAGAATATGCACTGGCAATCATGAATGAAAAGCTAAACAGGGATAGGATATATGGCAATAATGGAATATGTGAAATAGTGTAAATAGTATCATGCAACATTAGCAATTTATAAAGAGGTAAAGAATTGAATTGTTCTATGGTCCCACTGATTTATTATTATAGTCATTAGCAGCTTTTCCAAAAGAGTAATTCATCCATTTAATAGAAGGGCATTATTTGAATATCTAATTTCTTTTAGTCAAGTCATCTGCATGCAGTTCGAATAATTTATAAACAGGAACTGTATGTTTTCTTTGCATAGCAAGGAATATTGATAAATGGCTAGACTTTTTAATTTTCTACTGGATTTCAAAGCATGATCAATTAATTCTTGCCAAACAGTTATTCATGAAAGAAGGTATCTGGAATTCAGTATAAAAGAGTTAGTTACCAAGTGTAAACAATGTTTATTTTTTCATTTAAAAAATGTGTTTTTCAGCACTTGTCCAAATTACCAAGTGTACATAATGCAAGTTCCTTTGAAAATAATAAATCTGACCTTTACAAGCTATTATTTTGTTTCATTTAAATTTATTGCCAATAAGGAAATCAAACCACCTCTCCTAATTACGTAGCTTGATTAATTTAATCAGATTCATTGTATAATTACAACTAATTGCAAAGTAATTTAATTTTAAAAAATCAAGTGCCAGCTTAATTAAGTTTGGTTGCTGTACTTTATTTGTCTTTAATTGAAGAAACTCATAAAAGAACCAAGGAAATAAAGTATGTTTAAAACATAATATATATTTAGCAGTATTCTGACAATCTTTGTGAGAATTCATATTTTAGAAAAAAAAATATCTATGAAAGTTCTGAAATATGATCCTGGCTTGGGAAAGTAATGAAAACGTCACTTCTTTCAAACTGTACCCTGACTTAGTCAGGGAAGCATAGATTAAAACACATCTAAGAGCTGCAGTGGTGCAGTGATTAGAATGCAGTACTGCAGGCTACTTTTGCTGATCACCGGCTGCCAGAAGTTTGGTGGCTTGGGTCTCACCGGCTTAAGGTTGACTCAGCCTTCTGAAATCGGTAAAATAGGGACCCAGATTGTTGGGGGCAATATGCTAACTCTGTAAACCGTTTAGAGAGGACTGAAAAGCACAGTGAAGTGGTGTGTAAGTCTAAGTGCTATTGCTATCTGCAAACTTGAAAATATGGTAAATAGATAAAATATGAAAATATGGTAAATAGATAACAAACAGTGAAGATTAAGAACATACCTCCTCATGCAGTCCAGTGCTCGAATAAAGAAATCTTTGTGCAAATGATGCTCATCTCTTAAAATTGAACATTGTTCCAGTGTCACTGACATTGATGTCCTATCTTTGGCACTTTTACAGCAGGTGAACCGTACACCATTTAACTTGCGGCAAATCTATAGTGTAAAATGAAGATATCATTTCTTTTCTTTCATATTATAATTTTACACTTCTATACACTTTTACATCCTATTGTTAAGTGCTGTTTTTTGGGCATAATAAAGTTTTTGTTGGATTGTTTATAATGCACAAAGAAAACCAAGTAACTATATTCATTTTAATTACAGGCATATTGCTTTATCTAGCACAGGGGTACCCGACCCTGTCTGTGGCCTGGTGCTGGGCCACATCTGTTTGGAACCAAGGTGTGGAAATGGTGGGTGAGTGTGTGTGCATGTGAAGCAGCATTTGTGGTGTGTGCACATGTGCAAAACCATCCTCTCTCTCACCCACCACTGCCCCCTCAAACAAGCTGGAAAGGTTGGGGAATGCTGATCTAGCATACATAACCATATGCTGTAGAGAAACCAATTCATCACATGTCTCAAAAATATTTTCAGCTTTGTTCTTTTGATAACACAAATATAGTTTATTCATTAAATAATACTTTTACAATAATTGTCTATAGTCAAGCAAATGTATAGAAATTTGATAAGAATATAAATGAAATAAATAAAAATCAAGTTCTATTAATATATAGAATGAATATCAATCGTTAGGCTGAATGCATAAAAATTTGCAAGACAGACACCAGTGACAAAAATAAATGTTTTGACTTCGAGTTGGTAAGTCAATTCAAGATGTAGTCTCACAGGAAATTCATTTGCATTCCTATATCCACTCTTCCCCTGTTCTATGGTTATAGGGAAATGTTTAATTAAATGCCAGCAAGTCATGATAGGGGAGCTATTTGACATGGCAGTCAATGTAGCCTGATATGTAGACATTAAATAATACAATTTCACTTAACAGTGCTTAACAATTTAACTTGTACTTTTGTGAATGGTGGTGGTAATTTTCATACGCTATTTATTTTTATTATGAATGGGCCTTACATAAGCTAGAATTCATAATTTTTGGATAATTAAAGATGGGATTGCCAGATTTCTTTTGAGATTTTGGTTCTGGATTTCATGGAAATAAATGGCAAATTGAAGACAGTTACAAAAATGGAATCAATGACTGTGGCCGAATGAAGAGTTATTGAACAACTGATTTTTTTGCAATTCCTCTTCGGACATGGACAGGACTTGAAAGTGACCTCAAGTGCTCTAGACAATTGCTCCTCATGAGGAGACTACAAGACAATGATTTCTACTGGGTTTAGAGCTCTGGAAGATGAGGGAATAGTTATTTGAGCAAATTAAGTTGGCCTGCTTTTGAAAGGAAACTACCATATTTTTTGGAGTAAAGATGCACTGGAGTATAAGACGCTTTTTGGGGAAAAAAATAGGGGGGAAAATTCTGCCTACCAGATATTCATTTTTATTCCCATAACATCAGAAAAGCAAGCAAGCACAATAATATAATAAAACAACACTATTGCCACTTTTTCTTTCCCCATTTAGCTGAGGAAACTCTTAATAAGTTTAACTAGATGTTTGGGCATTCATCCAAAAGCACTTCACACCTAGTAAAAATGTAACAAAGCTGAATCAACAAACCAGCCAAGCCCTTGCCTGAAGGAAACCATTGAGAAAACTCAGATAGCCAATAGGAAAAAATCTTGCCCTGCCCTTAAAGGGATCTTCCGATTTTCCCTAACCCTAACCCTGTAGGCAAAGCCCAGAAGATCACTTCACTTGTTAACACCTCATTAGGGCTGAAAAAAACTTCTAAAAGGCTACATTTGGAGTATAAGAAGCACCCACATTTTTAGCCTCTTTTGGGGGGGAAGTGCGTCTTATACTCTAAAAATATGGTAAGTTTGCAAGTTTGGAAATTGCTTGTTAACAGTTTTTCAACTATTGTGGACTTTTGGATTGACAAATCTAATATCACTAGTGAATTTCCTTCAATCTTCAGTGAAAGAAGTTTTAAATACAAATTTAAGAACTTCGAAACCTTTTAAAAAAAGAAACAGCTAAAGAAGGATGAGAACTTTGAATTTGGAAAATTCCAAAATCGATCAATAATCCAGACTGATTTGAAATTAAGTTTTTGGAAATAATTATAAGAATGATATTGAAAGAGATGCCACTACACGTTTGTACTATATATAAAAGAAATCAAGTGAGAATATAATTAAAAGAAATACTCAAATAATAAGACATGATAGTTCAGGATAATTTTCCTATGTTGGATTTACAAAAGACACATTTAAACTTTGAAGAATTTTGTGAGAAGAGACAAAGAGAAAATGAGAAGAAATAAATTATTTAAATGTGCTAAAATGAAAATTATTAAAAGTGGAGGGAAGGAATATAAAATTGGCTTATTTGAACAAGATTATATGTTTATGTTTGTGTGTGTGTATGTATGTATATGTATGCATGTATGTATGTATATATGTGTGCGTGTGTGTGTACGTACACACACACACACACACACACACACACACACAACATTACTAGAGCAAAGGACGTTGGTGATTGCAAGTCTGATTTTATTGGCTCCAGTAATCCACCCAGAAGCAACTTACAGCAAGAGGAACAAAAAGCACTCACCAACCTGAGGAAAGACAACATAATCATTCTCCCAGCAGACAAAGGTAATGCCACAGTGGTGATGAACATGTCTGACTACCAAGCCAAACTATTCAACCTACTCCAAGACCCCGCTTACAAACCTCTAAACACAGACCCCACCACCTACCTGGAAAAACCCACCAAATCCAAAATAAAAGCCTCTCCCATCAGTGAAGAGATCCGGACAAAGAATCATCCCCAGAGAGAAATCTTCCAGATGCCCCAAACTGTATGGCCTCCCCAACATACACAAAGAAGGAACACCACTCAGACCCATAGTCGGCTCCATAGGCTCACTTCTACAGAATCTTGCCAAATTCCTTGCCAAACAACTCCAACCCTACGCAGAATCCATCACCTCACACGTATAAAACTCACTCCACTTCATAGAAAAAATAAAGAAACTAAACCTACAACCCAGTGACCTACTCATGAGCTTCAATGTCATATCCCTCTTCACCCAAGCGCCTATAAAAGAAGCCTTGACAGCTATCCAGAACAAACACAATCCCCCCAAACACATCCTGGACCTGACCAACCACTGCCTAACCAACACATACTTCATCCATAATGGACAAAGATACAAACTGATAGAATGAGCACCCATGGGATCACCCCTCTAACCCATCATCGCAAACTTATACATGGAATATTTTGAAACTAACGCCTTAGATAAATCTGAACACAAACCAAACTCTGGCTTAGATATGTTGATGACACTTTTGTGATTTGGCCACATGGGAAAGAAAAACTGGACAACTTCCTCACACATCTCAACAGCCTACACCCCAAAATACAATTCACTATGGAAATAGAAGCAAACAACCAACTTCCTTTTCTGGACATCCTAATCTACAAAAAACCCAATGGCTCCCTAGGACACACCATCTACCAGAAAAAAACACACACCAACCGCTACTTAAACACACAATCCCATCATCACCCTGCACAGATCAACTCTGTAGCCAAGACTCTCATCTCCAGAACCAAACGCCAAGCCGACAAAGACCATCTGAAAACTGAATTACACACTCTCAGAAACATATTAATCTCCAACGGATTCCAAAGAAAAACAATTACCAACCTAATCCAAAGGGAGACTCCCCCAAAAAACCAAGACACAGAACAGGACAATGGCATCGCCCTCCTCCCTTACATCAAAGGCACCACAGATAAAATCAGCAAAATTCTCCACAAACACAATATCAAGACAGCCTTCAACGCTGACCAAAAAATAGCCAACATCTTAAGAAACCCCAAAGACAAGATCCAGCTAGAAAACCAAGGAGTCTATGAAATACCATGCAAAATCTGCCCTGCAACATACATAGGACAAACGAACAGGAGAATAAATGCACGCATTGCAGAACACAAGAACGCAGTAAGAAAAAAAGAAAAAACTTCCTCCCTTTTCCAGCACCTTAAAGCTGCAGGACATGAAATTAATTCTGAAGGAACCAAATTAATCTCCAAAACTGAACACTTTAACAAGAGAAAAATTATGGAAGCTATTGAAATAGAGAAACACCCCCACAACAGGAATAAACATGACGATGCCTCCTGCCTACCAGACATCTGGAAACCAGCCCTGGTAAACAAACGAGCCCCACCCACCACCCAGGCCGTTACAACACAAACCAATGGACACACAGCCAGCACCAATCTACCAATCATGATACAGCCACACAGCCAATCAATCCACTTACTGAAACAACGCCAGCACTCCAAAACACCCCCACCAAGATTTATAGAAAGATGGCAGCTCCGACCACGTTTTAAGCCAAAAACTCCAGCCTGAAGATGGTGAGTGATACCTCGCCAAAACATTGTCAAGACAATCTCAATCTTACACAGGAAAAGATCTGAATGCAACAAGACCAGCATACCTACACCTGTGAAAATCTATGAAAACATGTGTGTGTGTGTGTGTGTGTGTGTGTGTGTGTGTGTTTGTGTGTATGAAGCCTTAATGGACTTTTGGTGATCGGGACTGAAATGTTACGTTTTGAGGATTTGTTTATAGATAAGATACAGGATATGGGAATTAGCAGTTCTTGTATTTTAAGAAAACAAGGTAGAAGATGGATATTTATATTATAGAAATTTTAAGTAGCAATGAATGTACTTTTGCATTTATATCTATTATTTTATGTACGCAAAAAGCTATATAATGAGTGATAGGTTCAGCAAAGTTTAAAAATAGGAAAAAAACCTATCAACAAGATACACCCGTGGAAGTATTTAGTGCCCATTTATAATAAAAAACATTTATGATATTGAACCTGACCTGTCAAGGTAAGTTGTTCAAACTAGATGCTGCCCCAAGAAGACCCAATATCTTGAATCTACTAACCTAGTATCTTCTGGTGTTAAAATATATGTAGGTGACAGCAAGTAGCAAAAAAGTAAAATATAGCAAGCAGCAGTCT